TGTGTGTATGTGTGTGTGTGTGTGTGTGTGTGTGTGTGTGTGTGCGTGTGTGTGTGTGTGTGTGTGTGTGTGTGTGTGTGTGTGTGTGTGTGTGTGTGTGCGTGTGTGTGTGTGTGTGTGTGTGTGTGTGTGTGTGTGTCTTATAATACATTGAAATGTTAATATGATGATGCACAAGAACATCTTAGTTTTTCAGCTACTTTGTGCTTCACAGATGGAGATCTGAGCAACAGAAGGCTCCAGAGTCTGACCGGTCCTCATAAGTCACATATATTGGAAAAGATTGTGTGTTTCTCTGGGCCTGACACTTCACCTAGACATGAAATAACTGTGTGAAAGGTTATAGTCCTCATAAGTTATTTAAACCGGATCATGTCCCAATATGTCACATAAAAATCAGATGTGATCTAAATGTTGCTCTAGCTAAAATCTCAATAGAGGAATGCTTTCCTGAATGCATGGATAGGAAACTCTGGGATTCTCAGACCTGTAGAACTTTTGGAAAGACACGTCCCCATTTGGCCTATTTCCGTTATACGTCCTTATATATAATGAAAACACGAATATGTGTGTGTGTGTGTGTGTGGACAAACATAAACCCAATTTAGGGTTTTCAACAAATCTCATATTCATATTTTTTGGACTTATGGAGAGAACAGGGGTACCCAGAAAGAACCAAACTCTACACAGAAAGGTTTCAGTCCCCTGTGGACTTGAGCTGAGAACCCTACCAAACTACCCAGGAATCCAGTGTAAGATCAATACCAAGTATTTTCCCTTTTCCATGCAAAAATGAACACACGTTCCAGTAAACTCATTGGCTGCCAAAGACGTCTATAGACGTCTTTTATGTTTTTCAACGAGAGTGGCTGGGGGACGATCTGCTAAAGCTTGTCCGTAAATATCAGGCTTCTAGACAGAGTATGTAGTAACAAATTGACCCTCTAGGGGGCAGTGCCACTTTTGATGGGAGATGAGCATAGACTGTAGGCAAATAAGAAAAAGGTAACGGTTCTCTATGAGAACATGTCGCCGGTGAGACGCAAGTCCAGGAAGAACGGAATAAGGTAGAAACAAAATGTTTTTTCCTGATGAAAGAAGAGAGTTTACTCTTTCTTTTGGTGTGTTTGGTGTTTACATAGTCATAGCATAAACTATTCTGTGGCTCTTGAAAAATCAGTCAAAATGCTCAAAAAACTCTAGCTACAGCTTCTCAGAGACGACTCGCGGTACTCCTGATGAATTCCTGTCCTTCTTACCAGGTTCTACATCTTAGGTCTAAGTTCTGACTAACAAGTCTTTCCTTAAATCGACTCTACACAAATAGACAAATGATAGAAAACCTTCAGACAGCTGAACAAAAGGAAGTAGGTGCAGATATTTCACATTTTGGCTAAACACCATGTCCTCTGTTGCTATGCAGTGTTCTAAAGGGAGGGAGGGAGGGTTTAAAATGGTCATCTGTTCTCACAGGTATGACCCCTGGAAACAGGAAACCACTCTGTTTACTTTCCCTCCATTCTTCTAATGAAGACAACCTGTGCAGGGAGGGG